GAGAGAGGGGAGAAGAGAGGAATGAGCGACGAAATGGGGAGGACTCGCGTCCCTTATATAGATTTTGTGATCGTCGTAAAACCGTCGTAACATTACGACGGTTTTACGACGATTTGGTTGTATAAGAATCGGTCCACTGCATGACACGACACGTGTCGTGATGTCATCGTCGTGAAGTCGTCGTAACTTTACGACGGTTTTACGACGAGTAGTCCAAAATCGTCGTAAAACCGTCGTAACGTCTAAACTTTAATAACCTCGTACCTCGGATCAAGAGCCTATCCGGTTCAAACGTTACGACGGTTGTACGACGATTTTGGGTTTAATCGTCGTTCGACCGTCGTATAGTTACGATCATATTACGACGGTTTTACGATGTTTTTTAAAAAAGTGAGTAAACCCTAAATCTTATAAATGGGATATTGCATAAAGAAAAATGCAGAGGTTATTGTATCCTAACATATCATAAAAGGTTTACAACTTTGCATGTATGATGAATTTATGACATGAGATAGTAAAAAATGAAATTCCGTAATCAAATATATAACCTTTCACTTAACATTTACGAAAACATGCACGACCTTATAAATATGTATGTTTTTTTTCAAATTTTTAATTTTGATCAGATTGATAGCATTTCATATAAAATAAGATAACCAATCAAAAACAATTGTGAAATACCTTACAACCAATAAGATATAAAAGATTCAAATTCTTGGATTTCAACATTACGACGGTTTTACGACGAACTAGTGTACTCGTCGTAAAACCGTCGTAACGTTACGATGACATTACGATGGTTCGTCGTAAAGACGTCGTAATGTCTAAACCCTATTCATTCAGGGCATTAAACCCTAGACTGAGGGTTTAGGGTTTAGACAAATCGTCGTAAAACCGTCGTAAAATTGAGTCGTCGTAAAACCGTCGTATAATCAAATTTATGCTAAGAAACTCATCGACCAAGGAGGGAACACTATGGGTCGATGAGTTTCTTAGCATAAATTATTAGTGTGTTCTAAAAGTTCGATAATAACAAACATTCACTAAATGCAATGCATGAAATTCAATCAGATTCATCTTCCTCTATTACTTCATCACCATCACCGTCTTCTTCCGCCAAATCGTCATCATCGGTTTCAGCAAACTCATCATCACCTTCTTCTTCTGTATCATCGGGAAGATCTTCAAGTTGCCTGTTTCGAGGGTCTATTAAGAAAATCTCCTCATCAACATCTGGTTCAGACAGATCTACGCATGTGTCCTGTTGAAGTGGAACATCCTCAACCCCTACAATCTTGCCCCTCGGAGCCACTTTAACTACAGCTAACCATGAAATTCCTGTGGATCGAACTCTCGGGTATGGCAGAAATGTTACCTGTTCTGCTTGAGAAGCTAATATAAATGGCTCAAACCTGTTGTACCGTCGTGATTTGTTCACGTCAACAACTCCAAACTTGTTTAGACGTACCCCTCGTCCAACAGTTGGATCAAACCAATCACATTTGAAGAGAACAGTTTTCAGCCTTAACAATCCAGGATACTCTACTTCAATTATTTCTTGCAGAACTCCATAAAAATCGATTTCACCCCTCACACAAACTCCATAGTTTGTTGTCGCCCGCTTTGCACCGTGACGGTATGTGTGAAAAACATAGCCCTGAGTGAAATACATTGAGGCTGTAGTTATTTTTGCCATCGGACCTAGTAGTAACTCATGGAACCATGTTGGAAATTCATCCGGGTCATTCGGGTCCACCTAATAAGAAAAAAATTCTGCTTTGATATCTTGATTTCGATATATAGCAAATTAAAGTAGTCTTTTAATTAAAATTTTCTATGTACTTGTCCTTTTAACCACTGGGCATAGTGTTGATCTTTACGATCATTGATTTCAGTTTCAGAAACCCCAGATATGCATTCTTTAACCTCATCAACAAATGTGCTGCGAAAAACAACAAATAGTAATTAATACTGACAACTCATATAAAGATATTATTAATTAAAAAGGTACCTTTCATACGATGACAACTCTTCACAATTTAACAGGATATACGTATGTGCACTGTGATAATCTTTTTCATTGGACCACCAAACATCTTTTAGTTTTCCACTAAGACGTCCGATCGGCGAGAATATGTCAGGTACACCTTCAACGGCATATGTATGGCCAACTCCTCCATCATCATATCGACGAGTTGCTCTTTTGCGTGTTCGTACTTTCGGTGCAAAATAGTATGACGT